ATCTTGCGTTCCTGTGCTAAATTTGTTACAATAGATGAACCTATACTGATTGGTCCATTATGATTAAAATCCATTAGTTTAGAGTTCACTCCCGGTGTTGTATGTTCCGTGAGTCCGGACAAGTGGGCAGTGATGCGTACCCACCATTATCGTACCCTGCAGGATAGTTTCACTGCCCTCAACGTCCTCTGTGTCCTGCCTGCTTGTCCTTCCCCTCCCCCCGGCCCCTGGAAACCACTGATCTGTTTGCCTCTTCAGTTTTGCCTCTTCCAGATTGTCTTATTGTTGGGACCATACAATACGTAGCCTCTTCAGACGGGTTTCTCTTACATGGCGGTGTGCCTTTAAGATTCCTCCAGGGCTTCTTGTGGTTTGCTAGCACGTATCTTTTTATTACTGAAAAATACTCAATTGGCTGCGTGTACCTGTATCAAAAGACGTCTCGGCTGCTTCTGGTTTGGGGCAGTTACGAACAAGGTTGCCGTCGACGTTCTCGTGCAGGATTTTGTGCGGACGCGGATTCTGCAGTTACTTGGCTAAGCGCCTGGAGCACTGCTGCTGGCTCCTACGGTAAGCCCGGGTTTGGTTCCGCTGTGCCTGCCAGGCCGTCTTCCCGAGCAGAGCACCATCTTGCGCTTTCCCCGGCGATCAACGCCATTTCCTGGTGCTCCTCCTCTCCGCCAGCGTGTGTGGTGGCATCTTGCCGGGCTCCCCGTTCCAGCGGGTGTCTGCTGGTGCTTCACTGCCGTTTTGGTTTGCAGTTTGCAGGTCCCTAATGACAGATGTGTGACGGGGAGCATTTCTCATCTTATTTGCCATCTGTATACCTTTGTTGAGGCACCTGTTCAGGTCCGTTGTCCATTTATTAATTGAGTTGTTTTCTTGTTGATTTTTAAGAGTTATTTGTATATGTTGGATACAACCCCTTTCTTCATGAGATGTGCATTTTGCCAGGATTTTCTGTCACTTCTCATTCTCTTGACATGGTCTTTTACAGGGCAGTTCTTAATTTTAATGAGTCCCAATTTTTTTTCTTTCACAGATCGTGTTTTTGTATCTAAAAAGTTATCACCGAACCCAGGTCACTTAGATTTTCTCATATGTTCTGTTCTAGAAGTTTCATAGTTTTGCATTTTACATTTAGGTCTCTTACCCACTTTGGGTTAAGTCTCGTGAAGGATGAAGGTCTGTGTTTCGATCGATCCCCCACGTAGATGTCTGGTCGTCCCAGCACCATTTGTCAAAGGGACTGTCCTCCCTCCATTGACTTCCCTTTCCTCCTTCGCTGAAGATCAGCTGGCTGGGTTGAGGAGGCCTGTTTCTGGGCTCTCTGTTCCCATCCATTGAGGCGCTTATTTTCTTCCTTTGCTGGGGTCACAGTAGCTTAATAGCAAGTCTTAAAGTTTGGGGTGTCCTTTCTCCAGCATTGCCCATGTCTTCAATACTGTGTTGGGTTTTTACGGTCTTTGCGTCTCCACCTAAAGCAGACCGTCGCCAGTACGTTTACGTCCACAAAGTAACCTGGGGGTTTTGACTGCGGTTGCACTGAATCTGCTGGGGGAGCTGTGAGGAACGGACACCCTGGCGATGTTACATCCTCCTGTCTGTCAACATGGAGCGTCGTTCCGTTCGTTCACGTCGCCTTTGACTTCTTTCAGCAGAGACTTCCGAGTTTTCCTCACACAGTTGTAGCTATTCTGTCAGATTCACCTCTTACTGTTTCATTTGTGTCGGTGCTAACGTCAAGGGTAATATGTTTGTAATTTCGAATTTCAGTTCATCGCTGGTATGGCAAGTCAGACCGACTGACTCACGTATTATCCTCGTATCCTGTCCCCTTTAGTTGCTTATGTTTGGGAGGGCTTTTTGTTTGGTTCTGTTGCATTTTCGTGTCAGTCTTTTGGGATTTTCTGCATAGACGATTTTATCATCTGCATAGAGGGTTTTATTTCTTCCTTTCTAATCTGTACATCTTTTCCTTTTTTTTTTTTTTT